TGGATGATCTTTTTGATGTGTGTCTGTATGCGGTTTGCAAGTATTTTGTTGCGAATTTTTTGCATCTATGTTCATTAAAGATATGAGTCTGTATTTTTCTTTTTTGGTTGTGTCTTTACCTGGCTTTCGCTTTAGAGTGATGCTGGCTTCATAGAAGGAATTTGGAAGTTCTCCCTCCATTTCTATCTTTTTGAATAATTTAAGTAGTATTGGATATAGATCCTCTTTAGATGCTTGATAGAATTCTGCTCTAAATCCATCTGGTCATGGGCTTTTTTTAGTCAGGAGGTTTTATATTCCTGTTTCAATTTCCTTACATGTTATGGGTCTGTTTAAGCTGTTAATCTCTTCTTGATTTAGCTTTGGTGGTTCCCATGCTTTTAGGTAGCCGTCCATTTCTTTTAGGTTTTCATATTTATAAGCATATAGGTTTTTAAAGTATTCCCTTATAATGTTCTGTATCTCTTTGATGTCTGTTGTGATGTTTCCCCTTTCATCTCTGATTTTGTTGATTTGGAGGTTCTTTTTCTTTCTTTTGGTTAACTGGGCTGGAAGTCTATCATTCTTGTTTATCTTCTCAAAGAACCAGCTCTTGGATTTGTTGATTTTTTATATTGTTTTCTTTGTTTCTGCTTCATTAATTTCTTCTCTGATTTTTGTTATTTCTTCTTGTCTGCTGGATTTGGATTTCATTGGCTGTTGCTTTTCAAGTGTCTTGAGCTGCAATGTTAAGTCATTTAATTGTGTTCTTTCTGATTTCTTAATGTATGCACTTAGAGCTATAAACTTCCCTCTAAGGACTGCTTTCAACATGTCCCAAAGGTTATGTTGTGTTATATTGTCCTCTTCATTTAGTTCCAGGAATACTTTTATTTCTGTCTTAATTTCTCCTTTGACCAGTTCATCATTCAGGAGTGTGTTGTTCAATCTCCATGTGTTCATGTAGCTTCTTTGGGTGTTGATTGTAAGCTTTATTGCATTGTGGTCTGATAGAATGCATGGAATTATTTCAATCTTTTTTGTATTTGTTGAGGTTTGTTTTGTGCCCCAGTATATGGTAGACTTTGGAGTAGGTTCCATGGGGTTCTGAGTAGAAAGCATGTCCTTTCGTGCTTTTGTGAAATATTCAGTATATGTCTGTTAAGTCCACTTGATATATGGTATTGTTTAATTCAGATGTCTCTCTGTTAACTCTCTGCCCTGTTGACCTATCTAATGGAGACAGTGGGTATTTATTTATTTTACATTTTGTGTACAAGTATGCCTGCATGTATGTGAGTGTACCCATGTCGTGCAATGCAGCAGAGGTCAGAAGAGCGTTTTGGATTTCCCTGAAACTGGAGCCAAGGACGGTTCACAGCCACATGTGGGTGCTAGGAATCTAACCCTGGTCCTCTGCAAGAGCAGTCAGTGCTCTTAAGCCCTAAGCCATCTCTCCAGCCCTGGGTTTTGTTTCTTAATCCATTCAACTAATCTGTGTCTTTTGACTGGGGCATTCAGTCCATTGATATTTAAAGTTATTAATGAAACATGTGTATTGAATCTTGTCATTTTTTATTTCTGTTCACATTCTTGATATAGCTGTGCATTTCCACAGTTACATCTTCATTGAATTACATTCCGTCACCCCTTGTGTATAGTTGTTCTTTTCTTCAGCGCTTTGTATTGCTTCAAGAACTCTCTGAAGGGCTGGTTTTGTCGACATGAATTCTTTCAACCTATTTATGTCATGGAAGATTTGTCTGTCCCCTTCAACTGTAATAGACATTTTAGCTGGGTAATCTGGGTTGGCATCTGTGATCATTTAGACCTGGGAATACTTTTGTTCAGGCTCTCTGGCTTCTTCTGGCATTCATATTTTGCACTGAAAAGTCAGCTGTAATCCCGATGGGTTTTCCTTTGTATGTGATTTGTTGTTTTTCTTTTGTAGCTTTCAGTATTATCTCTTTGTTCTGAACATTTAGTGTTTTTACTATGATGTGCCGTGGAGTGTTTCTTTTGTAGTCCTTCTATTTGATGTTCTATATGATTCTTGTATTTGTATGGACATGTCTTTTTTAACTTTGGTAATTTTTTTTCTACAAGCCTGTTGAAGAGCTGTTCCATACCATTATCTTGAGATTCTTCTCCTTTCTGTATGCTTATGATTCGTAAGTTTGTTTTTTTTTTTTTTATGGTGGAATCAAGGCACAGAGGGCGCGATGGACTTACCCCTGATAGAGGCCTGCGGGTCCTGCAGGCCCAGGGAAGCAGAGGGTGGTGAGGGTAGGGCCAGGCCCAGAAGCAGTGCTCCTGGGGACCAGAGAAGGCACTGAGTTGGTCTGGATGAAAAGGATCAAGAAGTAGTATTGGTTCCCCAGGTGCCTGGGGCCCCAAGACAAGGAATGGGGCAGGGCCCAAACTCGGAGGAGAGAGGGTGACAGAAATGGGAGGGTGAATGAGGCTGGGGGAGTCTTTGTGTGTTCTTTAAATTCACTGAATTCTTTTATCGTGTTTATAATTGTTCTTTTGAGTTCCATGTCCTGTGTTATCTCTAGGGAGTTCTCATTGTACTCCTCTAGAGGACTATTGACACTTGTTGGGGATATATTATTTTGGTTTTTCATGTAATTATTTTTTCTTTGTAACTTTGACATGTGAATTTTCTTCGTGGTTTCTGATTCTTGTGTGAGACTCAGCCTTCCTTTGTTGAGTTTAGATCTGCTTCTTTTTGTAAACTTTATGTGCCTTTGTGGTTTACTTTTTGGGCGTGAAAAGCTGGTTGGTCTAGGCTTCAGGTTCTCTCTTTTGATTTTATATTGGAGTGGCCTAATTGCTTTTGTCTTCAGGAGTTCCCACAGAGGCCCAAGTGAGATGAGGCTCAGATGATATCAGGCTTCCTCTTAAGGTATTGGTCCCTCCAGAACAGATGCTGCCTTCAGGAATTTGGGGGCTGGGCTGGCCTGAGAGAAAGGCCCAGGATAGATGGCTGGTCTCAGGAAGCTGATGGCTGTGCCACCCAGGAAAATAAAGGGAGGTGTGGGTGGGACCAGGCCTAGAGAGTTCCTGGGGGCTGCAGGAAGGAAATGGATTGGTCCTGATGCAGAGGATCAGGAAACCATGGCAGGATCCCCTCCACAAGCTGGGTGACCTGTTCAGAGGATGGTGTGGTAAGAATAGGAGGTAGAGGGCTGGAGAGGAGGTAGGGGGCTCAGTGGTTAAGAACACTGGTTGTTTATGCAGAAAGCCCCGGTTCAAATCCCAGTACCCACAAGGCCGCTAACAACTGTCTGTCACTCTAGTTCCAGGGGACCCTACAACCTCTTCTGTCCTCCACGGGCATTTCATGACACAGATGCACTTACCTACATGCAGGCAATACATGCATACACATAAATTTTTTAAAAAAAAATAACGGATTAAAAATATTTTAAAAAAAAAGAATAGGAGGTAGGAATTGGCTAGGCAGTTAGTGTAAAAAGACCCTAAAGAAAAGTAGCCAGCTTCTTGGCTAAAAGACAAAATGCCCTTGGGCCTCTCCATTCCAAATGCCAAAAATGTCAAAAGCATTATCTGATCCCTGAAGATTTTAGGGTTACCTCTTCAGAGGGGGGAATGTTAGAGTAGCAAAAAGCCCCATAAAATAAAGAAGAGTACATGAAGTTATCAAAAAAAAAGTGATGGGGAGATATCAGAGGAGTTTGAGGGGAGGGAGTTGGCATGGATTTGATCAAAACAACTTATATGCTTATATACCTGTATGAAATTCTCATTAAATTATTTTAATTTATTTATGCTTTTTAATATTTTATTCATTATTTTTGTTTTATGTGTATGAGTGTATTGCCTGCATGTATGTGAGTACATGTATGTCATACAATTCCGCAGAGGTCATATTTCCCTGGAACTAGAGGTAAGGAGGGTTCATAGCCACCATGTGGGTGCTGGGAATTGAACTGGGTCCTCTGCGAGAGCAGTCAGTACTCTTAACCACTAAGCCATCTGTCCAGCCCCTCAATACATTATTTTTTTTAAATGGGGAGAGTAGTATTTTAAGACAAATCTCAGACATCATGCTATTTCAGTCATAAAATAAATCAACATGTATCTTTCTCAGGTTTCTTTTTAAAAATTTTGCCATACTACTCCAAATAAAATTAACAATTAACTTTCTGAGATCAGTTAATATTTAGTCCAATTTTAATTTTCTCTGATTTACCAATTCTGCTCCCAAGGAGAGTTTTGAAGTGAGAAATGAAGGCTCTGGAAAGGAACATGCCTTGCTGAGAGCCACAGAGCCTCTTAATAAAGGAGCTGTGAAGAAAGGCTGGGTCTCTTGACCCACTGACCCATGTTCTTTTTGTCTTTTCCACACTGTTTTCTGTTTATTTTCCTTCCTGTTCTCTACTTATAAGCTCACATCGTCTCTCCTAGTCTTTGTTCCTTTCTATCTGTCAAAATGGCCACAAATTTAGGGTGAACATACAATAAGAAATGGGATGATGGTTATGAATTAAAGATGCCCTATGTGTTCTCTGTGGGAGTTTCAGCAGCGAGTCAATGCCAGGGCTTATAGCTAACTGCTTCAAATGACTTTTAGCAATCTCTTGTTCATATATTAAAGCGAATGGCATCCTGGGTCTCTGTCTGTACAGGCTTTGCTCTAGTTCTGGGTACACTGCTTCATCATTTGGATATTTGAGAACTTTGCAAATACTTGCCCGGGACTTCAGCACTTGTGGAATCAGTGGCACACCCCAGTGCAAACAAGAAGAACATTGTCAGGAGCAGGCCAAATGCACTACAGAAGTTCAGCAAGGATCGACAGCTGAAGCTCTTTACAGCACCTGCCTTTCCGGGATTGCTGCACGGTGTGCAGGTAGGCCCTAAGGGTTAAGGGAATATTCCAGGAAGAGCATGGCTTCAGTGTACTGTGCGGGAGTTCTGGATAAAGATCAGCCTAACTAAAAACCAGGTTGCACGCTGAGAAGTCTGTTAGATTTTTGAATGGGCAGATTATGGCATGCCAGTTGTGTTCAGCAGAGAAATTTGGATTTATATACTGACTCCAAACAAATGAGCAAGCAAATCAACAAATCACACATGCAACCTATGATCAAGCAGGCATGTAAATAGAAGTCTTCTGGAACTTGAGGTTTCTCTCTCCTTCAGAAGAGCATTTCTATGAAATAATTACAAGATTTCGGTTTTTTACCTCATTATCACGTAACACATTTGATATAAAAGAAATCTAGTTGCCATATTGGACTAAAATCAAACTGGGCTAAGTGTTTAAGAAAGCTAATCCATGCTGGGGAGATGACCAGAGCACTTACTGCCCTTTGAGAGGACTGGGGTCCAGTTTCCAGCACTCACATGGCAGCTAACAACCATCTGTAACTCTGGATCCAGGGTTCCAGATGCCCTCCTCTGGCCTCAGCAAGCACTGTACTCTCATGGTGCACATGCATACAGGCAGGCAAAACAGTTATAATACATTAAATAAAAATAAATAAATCTTTGGGGCTAGAAAGATGACTCAGCAGTTAAGAGCATTGGTAGCTCTTGCAGAGGACCAAGGTTCTTTTCCCAGCACCCACATGGCAGCTGATAATGGTCTTCAACTCTAGTTCCAGGGGCTCTTGCACCTTCTTCTGTCCTCCCTAGGCCTTTTTCACACATGGCGTTCTTACGTACATGCAGGCAAGACATTCATACACATAAGATAAAAATGAGGGCTGGAGAGACAGCTCAGTGTTTAAGAGCACTGCTGTTCTTGCAGAAGACCTGGGTTAGAATCCCAGCACCCACATGATGGCTAACAACTATCCATAACTCCAGTTCCAGGGGATTGGATGACCTCTTCTGACCTCCATGGGCATTGCACCACATTGATGTACCTACCTACACGCAGGCAATATACTCATACACATAAAATAAAATAAAAAATAAAATAAAATAAATAACATAGCCAGCTGTGTTGGCACAGGCCTTTATAAAGAAAAGAAAGTTGATCCACTCATGAGAATACCCCATGAAGCAAGCTGCAGAGTAGGCTCTAGCCAGGCTGGAGCAATGCTAGATAAAACTTGGGAAATGCTTAGGTTCTTAGATTTTCTTTTGTGGTGCTATATATCAAACCCAGGGCCTTGTATAGGCTAGTCAAGTATTCTACCACTGAGTTATATCCACAACTCTGGTTCTCAGACTTTGTTGTTTTTGTTTTAAGATCAGTTCTCACTATATAGCTCTGGCTGGTCTAGAACTTGCTATGTAATCCAGGCTGATTTTATACTTTCAACACTCTTCCTGCCTTTGTCTCTCAAGTACAGAATGTACAAGCTTGTGCCTCTGTGCCTGGCTTTCTGCGTAAATGTTTAATAGCAGCTGAAAGTGATTAACTATAGGTTAATTAGAAGGTAGAATAACTCCTAACTAGTTATGTGTGAAAATTAGCTAACATAAACCCAGTTATGCTTAAGTAACTTGTTGTTCTACAGTTCCAAAGCCAGTCTATTGCTCTTATAAGTCATTTCTCATGATTACCAATGCAACTCTATTTAATTTATTTCAGTGTTTTGATACAAAATCAGGGAGAAATAGAGTCCCAGGTGCCTCAAACTATCTCAAGTATTTGTTATTCTAGTCCTATTGACGTCTAGAAATCAAATTCCTTGTTCTTCCACTTACATATTAAGTGTCCTTTCTCTACCTTAGTTTTCCTCAACTGTTAAATAAGGTAACAGAATTTATGTGAAATTTCAGTAACTTTATGCTTACAAATACTCTTTCATTTGTACAGTCCCTCCTTACTGAAAAAGACCAAAAAAAAAGTATTGTTTACAATCTTCCATGTATGTTCACAGGAAGGTACCGGGTGCCATGAGGCAATACACCAAAGTAAAGACAGGTCCTTCTCTACAAAGACTTAGTCTCATAGTGAAGTTATATATATATTTCTTGAGTCTGTGACAAAATACTTATCTAATGAGTAAAACAAACAACAGAAGATATAAAGAGGTCAGGGGAAGAAAAGTTTTCTCCAAACTTTTTCTCCTTTTCTTTTAAAGTAGTGCTCCCATCAAACTCAGAGCTTTGCCTATGCTAGGCAGTTGCTTTGTCACTGAGCTATATACAAAGACCTTGGTTTTTGTTGTTTGAAGCAGAATTTCATATATCCCAGACTGACCTGTAACTAGATTTGTAACTGAGGATAAATCTGGAGTTTTGATCTTGCTGCCTCCACCAACCAAGAGCTGTGATTACAGTCTTGTGACACTATATCTGGTATTTATGCAGTGCTGGGGATAGAATCCAGGGCCTTGTGCATACTAGGCAAGTATTCCACTCTGATTTTTAGAAAGTAGCTTGATGCTATGTCAATTGCTAAGAAACAATATTCAGTTCCCTCCATGGTCTATGATTCCCTCAACCATGTTTTTTTGACAGGGTCTCCCTGTAGCTCTAGCTGGCCTCAGTCTCACAGAGATCTGCCTGCTTCTTCCTCCCTAGTGCTGAAAATAAAGGCATGTGCCACCGCTCTCTTAACCCAGCTCTCAACCATGAGTTTTTGACAGGTTTCTAGTACCAGCCATGAGTTTGTTCCCATGGAGTGGGTCTCAAAACCAATCTAGAGAAGTTGGTTAACACCATAACAATATTACTAATATTTCACAAGTGGGCACATTTCACCTTTACAGGTTGGTCTCATAGTTCAGAGGGTTAACAGCTGAATAAGTCTGTTGATGCCTTTTCTCCCGCAACAGTCTGCATAACAATGTCTAGGACTATGAAAACTATGTTGCAGGGAGGAAACTTGCAGCTCAGTTTCAGCTTGATTTATCTATAGCATGCATTCAAAATATGTGGTGTCTTCTGCAATAGGGTCTGATCAACTAGTTCTGGAGGGCAACCAAGAGGAATATAATGAGTCTATAGTATTATGGCTGCCTCTGGGGCTTCCCTGACCAACATCTGATAAGGAAGAATCCCAATCCCACACTGGAGGCTTTGTTTAATAACCATGGCTACTGGGAACAGCTCTTTCCAGCTATCCAAGTTAGCTCCATTAAACATTTTAAGGTTTATTTTTATTTATGTAGATCTCCCTGGAGCTGGAGTTGCAGGTGGTTGTGAACCTCCTGACATGGGACCTGGGAAGTGAACTTAGGTCCTCTACAAAAGTAGTATACACTCTCAACTGTGAGCCATCTCTCCATCCCCACAAATTTCTTTTACTACTATTATAAATTATATATTTTAATTTGGTTACAAGATAGTAGGATACCATATTCTTTATACTGCCTTGCTTTGGTTAACCCTCTTCCCTCCCCCAACTCCCCTATTCCCCAGCCCCTCTCTGCTGTCCACCTCCAATATTCCAACTCTCTTCTTTAATATTACCCATGTCCTACTACCCACCCCCTCTTAAGGCATCCATTTCCATAAATTCTTCATAGTTTACTGGCTTCTACAAGTACTATAAATTGAGCAATTAAAATTAGAGATTCAAAGCTAGGATTCACATATGAAGGGGAGCATGTGGCAAATGGTTTTCTATATATAAATAACTTCACCCAAAATAATTTTTCAGTACCAGCCATTTAATTGCATAATTCATAATTTTATTTTTCTTCACAGCTGAATAAAATTCCAGTATGTCTATGTACCACATTGTCTTTATTCATTTTTCAGTTGTTGGACATCTAGGCTGATTCCACATCTTAGCTATTGCAAATAGAGCAGAAATGTACATGAATATGCAAATATTTCTGTGTTGGGGAGCTGGAGAGATGGCTCAGAGATTAAGAGCACTGACTTCTCTTGCAGAGGACCTGGGTTCAGTTCCCAGCACCACATGCTTTCAGAACTTGAATCACTTTGTTCCTAGCCCTTATGTCTTTTAAAGTTTCCATTGAGGAATCAGCTCTTATTCTGATGCACTTACCTTTACACGCTCCTTCTTTCTTGTAGCTTACAGTATCTTTTCTTTGTTCTATATATTTACTGTTTTAACTATAATGTGTGGGAAGTTTCTTTTCTGGTCCTGTAGGTTTTGTGTTCTGTGTGACTCTTCTACCTGAATGGGCATCTCTTTCCTTAGTTTGGGAAGTTTCCTTTCATTTTATTGAAGTTATTATCTATGCTTTATACCTAGAGTTCTTTTCCTTCCTCTATGCCCATAATTTCTACATTTGGTCTTTTTATGATGCCCAAGAGCTCCTGTGTATTCCATTCACCCATTCATGGGGCTTTTTATTTGTTTGTTTAACAATTTATCATTTGAATGATGCGTTGATTGAATAATGCCATTCTTCTACCTTGTCTTGAAATCTTGATAGTCTGTCTTCTATGTGGTTCATTTGATTGGTGAGGGTTTCCACTAAGTTTTTAGTAGACTTCCTGAATTTTGTATTATTTATTTCCGTATCTGAAACTGTCCTCATTATTTCAGTCAGCCCTTTGTGCTTTCTTGGGCTTTATTCGGGAGTTTATTCTTGTTCTCTTTAAGTCTGTGCAGATACGTATTGGTGTCCGCTTTGAATTCCTTGAACTACTTGATCATGTTCATAATTGTTCTTTTGAATTCTGTGCCTTGAGTTTTGTCTAAATTTGTCTTATTAGGGACAATTACCATGGGATTGATGATCTTTGTGGAAGACAATATTGTCTTGGTTTTTCATAGTCCTTTTTTTGTGTGTGTGTGCGAAGGCACCAGGACACCTGGAGTTAGATATGCGGTTCTCTTCTGATATGAGTGTTTTGGCCCACCAGGTCAGAGTCCCTGGGGGTGGGGTGGCAGGATGAGAAGTTTGGGGAAGTCCCAAATGGACAAAACTGAGGGGAGCAGGTCTCTTACCAGGGCTATGTGGGCAGCTA